CTTCTCTGGGCCAGGGCAATAATCGCCTGCTATTTGTTTGTATGATTGTACCGTTTTGTACTCACTAGTACTCTCTTGTATGTCTTTGCTCAAATAGAAACTTGAAGTTCTACTGTGATTGGGCACAACAGACTTTATTTTAGAAGTTGTGGAGTTTGTCATCTTTAGGAAATACCTCTACTCAGATATAAGAAAGGAAATTTAATACCAGAATTTGTTGAGAATTCTTTTGTTGTTTTGTTTAATTTTTTGGTCTTTGGTTTTTTAAGATAGAATCTATGTAATCCAGACAGGCTTCCCACTCAAAATCATGCTTCTGCCCCTTCCCCAATGCTGAGACTATAGAGAGGTGTGGGTCACAAAGCTAGGCAAATGTTGACGGTTTTTAAAATGGTTTGTGTCACTAGTTCTATAATTTTTCTCTTTATTCTTGGCTTCCGGATCTACTTGGACTTTATCTGAGTAGGTGCTCTCAGGAAGAGATGGTATCTGATCCTTTCCCATACAAGGTGCCTATTAACCCAGCTCCACTTGTTGAACATGTCACCCTCTTTGAGGAGTTGACAGTACCACTGGACATTTCTAGTCCTTTTACCAACTTCTTTTTTTCTCTTACTAATATATTTTTCAGTCCACTAATGATTGTCACTATCACATTTTAGCAACTCTTGATGTTTTCCACTTGAATTTTCTGTCAAACTGAATTTCATGTAATAAGCTAACAGAAATGACAAGAAAATACACGAGTTGTGGGGGAATTACTATCTTTGTGATGACATGGAGTCTTTCCTTATACGTGATTTATTTCTCTGTTTATTACGCTTGTGTGTTTCTGTTAGTAAAGTTTCATGTTTTTGTTATGGGTTTGTATATTTGTTGTTAGATTTGGTTGTATATACTTCTACTTTGTTCTACTTAAAATCATATTTAACTGGGTTTTGTAGGAATTTTAGATCCAATAGAAGCTGCAAAAATAGTGTAGAGAGCACTACACACCCACCTCCACCATTTTCATATACGCAGTATCATGTCACAACCGGGACACTGACATTGGTTCAGTCAAAAGACTAGTGTCGGGGCCAGCCTGATGATCTGAGCTTGATTCCAAGAGCCTACCTGTTGGAAAGAGAGAACAGAATCCTGCAAGTTGTCTGGACCTCTACATGTATGCCATGATACATACTCAGCCCCGTAACACAGAAATAAATAAATGTGAAAAAGTACCATAAAAATTATTATCTGCATTTGCACCCCTTTTCATTGTTGTTGGGTAAAGCATCACATCATAATAAAAAAATAAGTTGTATGTGAAAAGGTTATTTGTGTAATTATAAAATTATCCATCTGCATTACATATTCTGTTCAAGATTGTGTGTGTGTGTGTGTGTGTGTGTGTGTGTGTGTGTGTGTGAAACTGGGTCTCCCTGTAGCCCCAGCTGCTGGAACTCACTATGTAGACCAGGCTGGTCTTGAACTCACAAAGATCTGCCTGCCTCTGCCTCCCAAGTGCTGGGATTAAAGGCGTGCGCCACCACGCCTGGCCTGTTCAAGATTTTTAAGAGTATAGATACCTAGGAAGCTGGCAAGGCAGATACAGATCACTGTTGCTTTTTCAAAATTGGAAATCTATTTTATTTTGATGCTCATTTTTAGTTGTGATAATTATAACTCTTGTTGCAAATTTTATCTTTAAAAAATAATTTTCTGAGGCCGGCCATGATGGTGCCCACCTTTAATTCTAGTACTTCAAGATTTTTAAGAGTATAGATACCTAGGAAGCTGGCAAGGCAGATACAGATCACTGTTGCTTTTTCAAAATTGGAAATCTATTTTATTTTGATGCTCATTTTTAGTTGTGATAATTATAACTCTTGTTGCAAATTTTATCTTTAAAAAATAATTTTCTGAGGCCGGCCATGATGGTGCCCACCTTTAATTCTAGTACTTGGGAGGTAGAGCCAGGCAGATCATTGTGCATTCAAGGCCAGACTGGTCTACATAGCAAGTTCCAGGCCAACCAGAACTATATAATGAGACTGTAGTAGAGTAAGAAAGTGGTCTAACTTGGAGATTAGGAGACAGTTTCAAGAAAAGAATGGCATTTGAGCTGAGCTTTGAAGGTAGAATGAGGTAAGGGTACTAAGTTGAAATAACAACCTGAATAGTTAAACAGAATCAGCCTGTATGGATTTCAGAGAGTGAACTTGGATGAGAGCCTAGAAAGAGCCAGGAACCACAGGAAGCCTCAAATGTTGTTAGAGAGTCTGACCTTACTTTGTAGATAGTAGATAATGGGAAGCCACCAATGATTTCAGTTAGCGATAATATGATTGATTGCTTTAAATTTTTATTTATTTTTATATTCTATTTATTATTTTTATTTAATGTGTATGGGTGTTTTGCCTGCATGTATGTAAGTGCACTATGTGTGTACAATGCCTGCAGAGGCCAGAAGAGGGTGTTGGATCTCCTCTACCTGGAGATAAGGATGGTTATTAGCTGCCATGTGGGTGCTGGGAACCAAACCTAGGTCCTCTGGAAGAGCAGCCAGTGCTCTTAACTGCTGAGCCATCTGTCTAGCCCCAATGTATGTATATGTATACATATGCACTACATGTTTTTGATGCCCATGGAGGCCAGAAGAGGATGCCAGATTCTCTGGAACTGAAGTTAAAGATCATTGTGAACTGTGATGTGGGTGCTGGGAACTGAACCCTGGTCCTCAAGAGCAGCTACTGCTCTTGACCACTGAGCCATCTCTCCAGTCCAAGCCTACTTTTTATACAGATTAATCTAGTAGCAGTCTATAGATCAGAGTCTTGACTACCATTTCTGGTATCACCATAGGCAAAATATATCACAGATCTCTACCGGGCAATGCCAATAACATAAGAAGTAGGAATCAAAATGAAGACTGTTACAAGGCAGAATGGGCAAGTCCTGCTGTTGAAGTTAATTCTAATCTTGGGTATTTGAGATGATAGCAGTAATCATGATAAAATACAGAAGGAACAGAGAAGAAAATGGAGAAATCAATTTAGACCATTCTCAAGTTTCCCTATCAAGCTTCCTGGACGTTCTACTGTCCTCATCTTGGAATTTCATCAAAGGGGGAAATTGTGTTTCTTAGGTGAGTATATCTCACTGGCCACTGCCTAATCTATGTTCTTTATGTGTTTTGCTGTTCAACATACATACTAAAGGAATGTGCAAACAAAGATCAACTCTAGTGCTGATCAGGGTGATGCTATCATTCTATCAATTTAAATTTAGAATTATCTACTTAGGGAAGTGTAAAACATATAGCAATTCCCTCATCAAATGAACAGTCCTTAATACTATTTATCAGAACAGAAGGTTCATGGAGAGTACCTCACCTCATCCTCAAAAAATCCATTTTATCTGTGACAAAAAAAAAAGATCATGCTCAGTCATATTAAGGTAGTTAGCTGCACCGTGCCCTAAATACATAAAGTTAAAAAAAAAATGCTTACTTGGTCTCTTAGGTAATCTACCAGTTTAGAATGTGAGGCTAATTTGGGTGCTGCCAGGATATCCTAATGAAGGCTGTAGAACATAGCAGACTGGTAAACTCTAGGGAGTCACTTTTTTTTTTTTTTTTAAAGAGACTACTTCTTTGCAAGGTAAGTAGATCAATATATGGAAAAATGTACTTAACATTCCAGTTCGTGAGACACTGCAGCATACTGAACTGCTAGCCCATGATGCTTCTGTCCTTCCCTGTGCTAGAATCACAGCCCACACCCTTGGCCCTACGGCTTTGCTGTTCCTCCTAGCAGCTCTCTCACTCACTGAGACTGAGTGGTCCTATGACTTGTTTTAGTCAATAGAATGTGGATGGGAATGGCTGGGGGCTCTTCAGGGCAAGGCCTTAAGAGACATCTGGCTTTCTTCTCACTGCCACGAGCCCTTGTGTTCAACACAGTCACCACGAGTAGAGCTTCCTGGCTAACTTGGAGACCTGCAAGCATGAAAAGCAATGTTTATTGTGGTGATCCACTGAAACTTTGAGGTTGGATTTTTAAAAATATTTTAATTATTATTTTTATTTTATGTATGTGAGTGTGTTGTCTGTGTGTGTAAGTGCACCTGTGTTATGCAATGCCCATGGAGGGCATTTCTTTTCTGATGCTCAGAAGAGGGCATCAGATTCCCCTGGAACTGGAGTTATGGACAGTTATTAGCGGCCATGTGGATGGAGGGTCCTCTGTAAGAGCAGCCTGTGCTCTTAACTGCTGGGCCATCTCTCTAGCCCTGACTTTTTTTTTTTTTTCAGATCAAAATGAACCCTAATATCAGCTGAAAAGAACCATGGATAAGGAATGTAGCTAATTAGAAGCAGCAGCTATTATGTTCTAGCAACTTAATAACTGTGGGAATTTTAATCAGAAAGAGGCCAGACTAATTGCATGAAATTCAGCCCTTTCAAATTGAAAACAGATGAAGGCTTTTTGAGACAGCCCCAGCTGGCCTGGAACTCACCATGTAGACCAGGTTGGCCTCCATCTCTGCCTCCCAGGTGCTGGGATTAAAGGTATGTGCCACCATGCCTGACTTAAGGATGTATATCTTAATAGTACTTTTACTGTTCCATGACAAACTTTGTTCTGTCTGTGGCTATAAAAGATAATCTTTGATTTTTATTTTGATATTCAAATTTACATTTTGAGGAATGCAGATATTAAGAATTATCTTTGAAATGAAGTGAAATTTTATCCTTTATATTGGGTATCTTAGACCAAATAACAAGCATTTCAGTCTTCTCGTGAAGGCAGCGAAACCACAGTAATCCACTGGTGCTCTAGGCTAGGACCTTAGAAACTTGTTTAAGAATAACATTCAGAGCCAAATGTGGTAGCACACACCTTTAAACCCAGCACTTGGGAGGTAGAGGCAGGTGGATCTCTGTGAGCTCAAGGCCACAAGGAGACCCTGTCTCAAAAAGAACAAAACAAAACAAAAAGAAAGAAAAAGAAAAGTCCACTTTTGAAACCTTTATTTGTCACATTTTATGTTTCTTACTAATTCATTGGGATAATTTGAAACTTTCTGTCTCTCATACATACAACATGTGTGCATACATACAAAGTCTATGTAGTTTTGTTCTTTTGTATATCGATGCAACCATTTCTGCTGATTTCTTTCCCTTGTAGATTCATAGAAAAAAATTCACCACCTTAAAAAGAAGCAAGGTTATAAGAACCAAATTCTGAGTCCTGGATGAAAGCCTACAGATGAATAGTAATCAATTATAATCAGTGGGAAATCCAATATTAAAATTAGTTTATAGTGACCTATATTATTTGACCTGCTCTACCTGGAAGGACCCAAAGCATATCTCTGGATTAACCATCTCTCTAAAAGAACTGAAGCTAGGTTGTGTCTGCTGATTGTCTATACTGAGATCTTGATGAGTAGAGTTTGACTCCTAGATATTTAAAAGATTTTTGAGGTGGGACCTGGGCAAAAAGATAGAAAAGATTTGTGTTCTCTAAAGGAAATTTGTAAACTTGAATTCCAATGTACTGGACAGAAGTGTTTAGAAAGGGAAAAAAAGACAGATTTGGGGCAGCTGTGAGTCTGAGTCCAGCTCCACCTTTTTCAGATTCTTGGGAGGGTGAAATGAGAGGATGAACAGGAGGCCCTGGAACACAGAACATGTTAACCACAGATGCTTAGTCAACAGCAGCTACAATATAGCCAGTACATTCAATTGTGAATAGCAGACTTTTATAAAGGGAAAAATGACTTGACTACCCAAGAGATACAGGGGTATTTGGCTTCTAGTTTGTGGGAGACTTTCCTTTCCCCATCAGCTCAACAGTCAATCCCCAAATCCAGAAATGGACAGATAGCTTGGGATGAGGTGCATCCAGTACATCACCACTCAGTCCTGTTCGACAGGGAGTTCTTGCAGCAGTGCTCATAGGAAAAGGACAGGGTCTCTTTACAGTTCCATGATAAACTCCATAGCCACTCACTCATTACTCTTCAAAATACTCCGTGGGATAAGGAAATAAGACTCATATTTGCATAACAGAGTGGGCAGCAACACTTGATGTGTAAATATCGTAATAGCACAAAAGCATGTCGCCCTCACTAAATTACACAGTGGGACAATAAGAGGCGGCATGGCCCTAAAATTCAGTGACCATCTCTGCAGTACAGGGTCCACTTAGCTTTCATGGAAAGGCTTGTGGTTTGAGAATACCCAGGTATGATCTCGACCCTGTCAACTTCTTTGCGCTGAAACATTATAAAATAGTGATGTTTGTACAGTGCTGTAAATGTACTAAATGCCACTCAGTTGTACTAGGTTGAATGAAAACTATGGTGAAATTTATGTTATATTTTAACATAATAAAAACAAAACTCTAAAAGACGCATTTTCCTAATCCTTAGTGGCAACTGTGTTTTTCTTCTGAACATGTACACCGTCATTGTATAGGTTCCTCTGAATGCTTGTGTATGCATCTGCTTTTCAAAAATCTCTGACCTGTGTGTTCTACTTTGTGCTGTTCTGGCATCACCCCATCCTTATTTTCAGGGAATAAGAACTGTATCAGCTGCATGAGTACACAGATTCCGTTGCAAAACTCTTTGGCTTTAGCACATATTTATCTACTTTAGAAAATTCTCCTATCCAAAGGGCAGGCTTGGAATGGGTATGTCTCCTCTCTCCAAAGGCACTGCATGGCTTTCTTAATAAACGGAAGTGGGAGAGAAAGGGGGATTCCCCAAAGGTATGCCTGAACCAGTTCCTGAGTTTCTTCTTTCAGCCAGCTCAACTTCGCAGCATGGGACTTGGGACTCTCAGTTCTTGTAGACAAAGTTAATATTGTTCTTTTATAAAGCAGAAATCACAAAAGGTGGCAGGTCTTTAAGACCCACACAAGCACAGTGTATAAAAGAGAAAGAGAGTAGCTGGGAGAGATGAGAGAATCCATCAGGAAGTCCTTGAGGCAGAGGGTAGTGAGTATGTCCCAAGGAAGCTTCATGCTGGTCTAGCCTAGCCCTGGCAAGCAGGGGAGGGTGACCTTGGACTTCACTGCATGGAGGAACATGCTCCCTGGGCAAGTTGTTTTTGCTCCAGTCAGCAGATTTCAGCTGCTCCTGCTATACCATGTCTTTCCAGAAATATGAAGGCTTGTTACAGATGAACAGGCCTGTGATGACCACTGCAGCCAAGATCAGGGAGAAGAGAACCATGAGGAAGACGTAGGTGGAGTTGGGGAGAGGTGCAGAAAACGGCTGCTCGGCTGGGATCATGTTGGTCAAGTTCAGCATGTAACCCAAGGTCCACCCGGCATTGCTGCCCTGGATCTGCAAACAATGGGAAAAATCTGCCTGTTGTTTGTGGTCCAAAATGTAATCTGTAGTATTCATGCAACCCTTTCCATAACGCTGAGCAACCCGCAGGCGGAGAGAATCTTGCATAGTGTCAATAGAGTCACTGTATATGCTACACTAGGAATAATACAATTGTGGAAAATAGTAGCAAATGATTTAGGGGAGTTTGGAGTCTCATTACAATGTTCCTAAATTTCAGAAAGGAATTTGGTGAATGGCTGCCCAGTTCACCCTCCTGAGAGACTTAATTTAAACAGAACAGTGAAGCTTTGCATTTTTTTTTCTTTCTCTTTCATGAGTTGAGGGGCCAACCTAGAGGTGACAGGAAGGAGGCAAAGGATGAGGGAATAATGATTGGCTCCAGCCTTTCACATCTTTGCCAGACCAGAGAAGTTATCCCATGTAGAGCCAGGGATTCATGAGGGAAAGTTTGGGGAATAATCCCAGCAAGTCAATTTCCTGAAGTTGGAAAGCCAAGCACATGTCTGAGAAAGAATTCTATTTTTTAAATTTATTTCTATGTGTATTTTGCCTTCATGTATGTAAGTGCTCTGTGTGTGCAACACCCATGTAGGATGGAAGAGGGCATCAGATTCCCTGGAACTGGAGTTAGTGACAGTTGTTAGATACCATGTCGGTGCTGGGAACTAAACCCCAGTTCAAGAGCAGCCAGTGCTCTTAACCTCTGAGCCATCTCTCTAGCTGGAGAAAGGATTCTTATTAAATTATAAAGCATGCTCTTATCCTCCCATCTTCTGAAGGATAATTTCCAGTCACCTCAGAACCTACTGGACTATAGATGGTCTTTGAACAACAATTGTGGAAATGGTTTTATTATATGAGCTGCCCATGACTTAGAGACCTTGGTAAGTACAGATAAGCCTAAAGAAAAAACTTCGGTCCCGAATTTTCTCACTGGGTCACTCAGGATTGCTACTACTGTCTCTTTGTGACATACCTTTCCTGTACTCTAGGAGCACGTCTGACTGTCTTTCTTTCTTTTACAAAGAAAAAAAAGAAAGAAATTAAATTCTATCTAGCATAATTCATTTAATAATACTTTTTTAAACATCCCGTGTGTTTTAAGATAGCTCTAGACCATCATCACTGGCATGAGCTGCCTTCAAGTCATTTTAACCAATTATTTAGCATCCTAGGAATGCAGTGATGGGACAAAATGATGTGAATCTTTTTAAGGCTCTTAGCATACATTGTTAAAACAATCTCATGAAAGGTTGTCCCAATTTACAATGCCCTTTCCTCCAAACTCTTACTGATAGCAACAGTAATTTGTTTTTTTTTTTCCTGCCAATCACATTAGCATAGATCCTTCAAACAAATGAAATAGAAGGAAATGAAATGGAAAGCAGCCTGGGATATAAAATGAGAAAAACGATTGTTTGAATTAGCAAGATCAATAATAAAGACAGTATAGCAATAGTATCCTAGGGGCCTTCACGGCCCTCTGCTTCTATGCTTTACAGTATCTGAAGTCACTATATTGTAAAAGGTGGTAACATTTTTGCTGTTAGCTGGCACAGGCTTAAAACCACAGAAAATCACTGCTCTTGGTGCTTTTCAGTAAGTAGTCACTTGGCTGACATCAGCGTTTCTCTACTCCTCAATGCCTGCAGGTGGCACTGTGGTAAAGCACAGCAGGGAGGCTGATTCTTAAGGCTCATGCTAGGCCAGCCTGCCAAGCGAAGGCCCCAGCCACAGCTGCCACTCAGTCATCCCTTCACATGGAGCTTTCAAATTGATCCATTTTAAAGCAGCAACTAACAAGGCCTTTACTCCTGATAAGAAACCAGAATTGTTTCTGGCAGGAGGGGCTTTTGGGAGGGATTCTGATGTCAGTTTAGTGGTTATTACATGCTGAAAAATGAATGAACTATTGTTTTATGAGAATTGGTCACAATTCTATGTTCAGAAAGGCGCAACCAAGAAGGCAGGTACCTGTCCTTAAAGAGGTTCCGATCCACATCTGCCTGCTGTTCCCAGAAGGGCTTGACACAAATGCCAGTTTAAGACAGAAGTGGGATGGCAGAACAAGGCATCCACCGAAGCTTAAGTTAAATGGACTCTGATTGGACCATTTCTAAGACCAAAGCTGCTTCAGTCACTACCAGACCAAAGCTGTTTCAGTCACTACCACCCAACTTCCACACACCCAACCGATTCCCAAATTACCTTGCCCATAAACTGGATTTGGTCCCAGGAATCGCCTGTGAAATTATAGCCTTGTAAAAGGAGGGAAAGGATGTAGGTGCCCGAAAAGCAGTATTCACTCAGGTACTTCTCCTTTACTGCAGGATAATCTTGTCTGACCTAAAAGTGAAATGAAGGATCTGTCATATTTGTGCAACAGGCTCCTCTCCATAGCTCATTTCTCTATTGGTACTCAGCTCACAGGGGTCTGAGGGCAAACCTCTTTCTGTGGAGACACTGCCTCATACCTTCAGAGAGTGCAGGGTTTTCACTAAGGGTCTCCTGATGAAAGTTTTCCCTTCACAGGGCTCTCTATGAGAACAGTAAGTATTCTAGGAAGAGTTCCATAGTCTAGTAGTTTCAGAAACACTCAACTTCAATGTCTCATTTCATCCCTTAGACTTGGAGTTACACCATCACAATGGCATATTAAAAGCTGTGAAGGTGTTATATGAAGGAAGTCCATTAACTTTCCTTTAGCCTGAGTCTCCTATATGCTGTTCACCAAGTTTTTAGCTCAGAGCCTCTATAGCATTGTAAGGAAACAATGTCCCCAAAACGTCCTTGGACTGACAGCTGAAACCAGTACCCCTTCGAAGTTGTCACTATTCACCCCAGAATTATCAGTTCAATCCTCCATGTTCATATGATTCTTCATTGAGAGAGAGAGAGAGAGAGAGAGAGAGAGAGAGAGAGAGAGAGAGAAACAGCCTTGGAAGACATTTTCAGAAGGATTTTGCTGATCATTGCTGAAAGTGCTAACATCCACTTTCTATTTTCTGTTCTTAACCTCTTTTTCCATCTAAGTCATATAAAGTAATTGTATTATTGAGTTGTTCGTGTTTTTACTCATCCACTCTTTACAGAAGATAGTAAGAGATGTTTGCCACCCATTCTAGCTGTGGTAAATGTGGAACCAAATGTAAACAGCCTGCTCTGTTCCTGTCCTACCGTTAGAGGACAGCAGGCCAGGATATCACTAGCTCAGCCCAGGGATCTGCCTATTGCCTTGTTACTCGGATGGCCTTTTCTCTGGCCACCATGAGCTTAGACAACAAAAATCTGTTAAACATTTATCATGTGCTCAGAATTATGCCAAATGTTTTATATGCAACATTTCCTCACCCACTGCTTTCCAGGTTTTGCCCCTCTGATGAAATATGTCACGTGTAAACTCTACTTTCTGACTATGGTCTAATAAACACAGAAAAAACACTATAAAATTCAAAATCTCTTTGTGGGGCTGGAGAGACAACTCAGAACTTACAAGCACTGGCTGCTCTTACGGAGGACCCAGGTTTAATTCCCAGAGTCCACATGGGAGCTAACAAACATCAGTAACTCCAGTTCCAGGAGATCTGATGCCCTTTTCTGGCCTCTTTGAGCATGGCATACATGTGATGTACTTATAGACATGCAGACAAAACACTCATACACATACACTGAGACGACTCAGTGGTTAAAAGTACTGACTGTTCTTGCAGAGGAACCAGGTTCAGTTCCCAGTACCCACATGGTGGTTGACAACAGTCTGAAACTTCAGTTCCAGGGGATCTGACACCCTCTTCTTTCCTCAACAGGCACTGCACGACACGGGTGCATTTACATACATGGAGGCATAACACTCATACAGATAAAATAAAATTAAAAACTCAGAATGTACAGCTCTTTGTGATAAAAAGTTTTTTTAATTTTTATTTTATGTATAATAGTGTTATGTCTGCATGCATGCAAGTGTGGCTGTGTTGTGCAGTGCCTGCACAGAAAAGGGTGTCAGAGTCCCTGGAACTGCAGGTACAGACAGTTGTCAGCCACCATGTGGGTGCTGCAATGCATACCCTGGTCTTCTGCAAGAACAGCCAGTGCACTAAATTACTGAGCCATCTCTCCAGTCCCGTGATAAAAAATTCTTAACAAATTAGCCATACCAACACAAGAAAGACACAAATAGGGCACAAACCCACAGCCAGCATCACACTGAATGAGAAAAAGGCTGAAAGTGTTCCCTCTTGATCTCTAGAATGAGACAGGTACACATGCCCAGCACTATTATTCAACATAGTTTGGAAGTCTTAGCAAAAGCAAAAGAAATACAGGGTATCCAAGCTGAAAAAAGAAAGCCAAATTCTCCATGTTTATTAAAAACACGGTTTTCTACATAGGAAAACCTAAACATGCTATCAAAACAGTGTTACAAACTAACTCAATGAAGTTGTAGAATTCAAAATTAACATACAAAATAGTAATGTTTTATCCACCACTAATGAACTTGCTAAACAAGAAATTAAGAAAGCAATTCAATTTGCAAGAGCTACAAAATAACAAAATATCTAAGAATAAATTTACCAAGGAAGTAAATATTTCTATACATAAAATTATAGAGCATTGATGAAAGAAATTCAAGAAGACATCCACACACACATAATATATATGCATATATATATCCTATATAGGTCCATGAATTGATATTTAAACTAACCATAATGCCCAAATCAATCTATAGATTCAGTGAAATCCTCACTCAAATACGATATTCTTTATAGAAATAGAAGAAAAGTCCTAAAATTCATATGGAGCACAGAAGGCCAAGTGTAGCCAAAGCTAAGAAAAACAAGTCCCACAACAGAACCAATGTTGGGGCTTCACTGACTTCAAGGTACAGCACAGAAGATGCTGCAGGCCATGCAGCACTGGAGATACGGATGCAGGAAAATGAAACAGACTTCTGCATCACACCATTTATGAAAATCAATACACAGTGGACATAAAATTGAGAAATCGACAGGAAGAAACACGGGGGCACTACCCCAAGACATTGGTGCAGGCAAAAAAAAGTTTTTGGATAAGGTGACAAAATTAAAAGCAGACAACCAGATTATAGCAAAGAAGATTCTGCATAAGCAAGGAAATAAGAAAGTAAAGAGACAAGTCACAGAACAGGAGAAAAGTATTTACAAACTATCTACCTGATAAGGAATTCATATCCAAAATATGTAAGGAACTCAAACAGTTCAACAACAAAAACCTACAAATAATCCAATTGAAAATGGGCAAATGATCTGAATTCACAAATGAGGACTCACAATGGCAAACAGTTGTGTAAAAAAAATGCTTAGATATTTCTAATCATCAGGGAAATGTAAGTCAAGACCACCAAGAAATATAGTCTCACCCCAGTTAGAATGGCTATTGTCAAAAAGAGATACCATAACAAATGCTGGTGAGGATGCAGAGGAGGAGGAACTCCTGCGTGCTATTGTAGGAATAAGTACAGCCATTACAGAAAATGTGGCAAGTCCTTTAAAAGTTAAAGCTATTGCATGATCCATCAATTCCACTATTCAATATGTATCCAGAGGCCATGTAAGAATTGCTCCAAAGAGATACAGTACCCCCATGTTTATTGCAGCACTATTTACAATAGCCAAGGTATGGAATAAACCAAAGTGTTCATCATCTGGCATATAGATAAAGAAAATGTGGTATTACATAAACACACACACATACACAAATATATGATGGAATATTATTCAGCCATGAAAAGAATGAACCTGTCATTTAGAGCAACAAGCATGAATCCTGAAGATGCACTGTTAAGTAAAATATGTCAGGCAATGAGAGACAACTATCACATTTGTGGAAAAATATCTCATATATCTCACAGAAAAAGAGAAAAGAACAGTGGTCACTGCAGACTGGGAATGGTAGGAGTAGGGGTTCAGAGACAAGTTGCATGAGGGATCCAAAGCACAAGTAGGACAAACTTGTTCCGGGTTCTATTAGTAAGGAAACTACTGTCTAAAATAGTTTATAATATATCTCAAAATAACTAGAAGAGTACAAATGTTTCTAACACATAGAAGTGATTAACATTAGAGGAGTTGGAAATCGTAATTACCCTGATTTGATCACCCACTGTGAATGTGTTCCAGGTTATTGTATCCATAAATATGTACAAATACTATGTGGCAATCAAAACACCCTTCATGCCTACCTAGGCACATATCAATTAAATTCCAATCGCAGTGGTATTTCTGGAAGCGGAACTGAGCAGCAAGTAAAACACCACAATCACAGTGACGCACTACTGCATTCCTCTTAGACTGGCTGTTGTCAAAAAAGATGAAGGAAGGAAAGGAGCCAAGATGGTGGGTTAGAAGCTCCCTCTTTCTAATTCTGGGAATGGGAAGAGTCCAAGTAACCAAGAAGAAACATATTCAGGTGAGAGAAAGGAAGAGAATTGGAAACAAGAAAGAGGTAACAGGGCAGAAAACAAAACAAAATTAAAAAAAAAAAACTCCATAAAGAAATGCATAAAGGTAATGCAGAGAGAGGAAAAGGAAGGAAAAGTTTGCAACCTTAGCCTGGTTAAGTTGAAGCCACAGCCACCAGGTATGTCTGTGGTGTGTAGACAGCTCTGGCAGCAACAGCCTGGCAGTGCAAGCCACAGGAGGAACCCACAGGACTTGCAAGACTTCAATTCAGCAGAGGGATTTTACAGTGACTTTCATGTGGCAGGAAGCATTGAAAAAGAAACCTAATGCTCCCCTCTCCCATAACTCAGTGCCATTTTGAGAGATGGCCTATTGTTTGAGATTGAGCTACTCTGGAAAACTGAAAATAGGGAATAATTACAGGCCCAGGAGCCTAGGGACACTGTGACACAGTGTCTGGGTAGGAGATGGTCACAGAGGCAGTGGAGCGTAGGAAGGTCAGATAGGAAACCAGAAGTTTAAGTAGCAAAGAGCCCACTCTGTGTCAAGGAGCAAGCCATTCTCTGTGGGTCACTGTGAAGCCTGGGAGCTCAGCGTCCACAGAAGTCAAAACAAGAAGAGATAAAGATTGCAACTAATGAGATGGCTCAGCGGTTAAGAGCACAGACTGCTCTCGCAGAGGACACGGGTTCGATTCCCAGCACCCACATGGCAGCTACGAACCATCCTTAACTCCAGTTCCAGGGGAATCCGAAGCCCTCTTCTGACCTCCGAGGCACTGCATGACACAGGTACACTCACATACATGCAGGCAATACACAAATATACATTAAAAAAATAAAATATTAAAAAAAGATTTTAAAAAAAGAATGCAAGTAATTAATGTTAATACTCCATTCTCACTAATAGACAGATCATCCAGACAAAACATCAACAAAGAAACTTCAGACCTAATTTTACCATAGACCAAATACACTTAACAGACATCTATAGAATATTTCATCCAACAGCGGTAGCCTATGAAACTTTCTCCATGATACAACACATTTTAGGTCTCAAAGCCAATCTTCCCAAATACAGAAAATAAAATTCTTATTTTATTAGCTCACAATGAAATAAAACCATAAAACAATAGTAAAAGAAACAATAGGAGCACATGGATATTGAACAGTTTTGAATGATCAGTGAGTCACTGAAGAAATAGAGGGGAAAGTTTTAAAAGTTCCTAGAATTAAATGAAAACAAAGACACAGCTAAGCAGAGCCTTTGAGATACAGTGAAAACAGTTCTATGGGATGAGTTCATAGCTGTGCATGCCTACATTAAAAAGTCAGACGGGGGGCTGGAGAGATGACTCAGCGGTTAAGAGCACTGACTGCTCTTGCGGAGGACCCAGGTTCGATTCCCAGCACCCACATGGCAGCTAACAACTGTCTGCAAGTCCAGTTCCAGAGGAATCCAACACCTTCTGACCTCCACAGGCATTGCATGACACAGGGGGACTTACGCACATGCAGGCAATACACTCATACACGTTAAAAAAAAAAAAGAAAAGAAAAGTCAGACAGATCACAAATAAATGGGCAGATGAAACATCTTAGAGTCTTAGGAAAACAAGAATAAGACAAACTCTATTAGGATATGGAAGTAAATAATAAAAAATAGGGTAGAGGGGATGGAGAAACAGTTCCGTGGTTAAGAAAAACTGAAAGCCTTTCCTGTATAATCGGGATTGAGATAAAGGTGTCCAGTCCCTCCACTTCTATTCCACATAGCAATAATAGTGCTATATATAGAAGTGCTATATATAGAAGTGCTATATATAAAGCAATAACCAGAGAAAGAAATTTAAAAAAAAACATACAAAAAGGGAAAGAAGAAAATTATCCCTATCTGCAGATGATTTAATCATGTATGTAATCTTTTGTGCCAATAATCAATGGGACATATTCTCCCAGAAGACTCTGATCTTATGGTTTCATCAAACCAGCAGGTTACAAAATCAATATACAAAAAAATCAGTAGCTTTTCTAAACACCAAAAAATGACCTTGCAAAAAAATCAGGAAAACATCCCATTCACAATAGCCTCAAACAAACAAAAACCTAACCAGAAAAGTTGAAAGACCACTATAATGAAAACCTTTACAACAAAGAAAACACTAGAAAGAAACAGCTCCCTGTGCACATGGATTAGCACAATTAATATTGTGAAAATGGGTGTACTACCAAAAGTAATTATAGATTTGATGCAATCCCCATAAAAATTCCAGATGTTTATCACAGAACTAGATAAAACCAATCCTAAAATTCATATGGAAACACAAAAGACCCTGAATAGACCAAGTCATCCTCAGGGGAAAGAGCGACACTGCATGTACCACAGTACCTGCTCTCAAGTTACACTACAGAGCCATAATAACCAAATCCAGCATGGTACTCGCACAAGAATCAACATGAAGACCAATGGAATAGAACGGAGCACCCAGAAATAAACCCTATGGGTACATTGTCTGGTTTTTGACAAAAGGAGCCAAAAGCATGTACTGGAAGAAAAACAACCTCTTTGACCAATGGAGCTAAAACCTGAGTATCTGCAGGTGGAAGAGGAAGCTACAGCTCCATCTCTCATGCCACAAAAACCCAATTCAAATAGTTCAGAGGCCTAAACCTAAGAACTCAAAGTTTTAAAGAGGAAGTCTTAGAAAAAAAAAAACACTTCAAAATAGAGGAATAGGTACAGACTTTCTGAGAAAGGACTCTAATGGCTCCGAAAATTGTTGCAAATACCGATACACACGATTTCGTGAAATTAAAAAGCTTCTGTACAACAAGAGACAATAAGCCCACAGAATGGAAGAAAATCTTTACAGCTGTATCTGACAGAGGGTTAATAGCCAAATTCTATAAAGGGCTACAAAGAGTTAAACACCAAACAAACTATCCAGGCACTAAATGGGTAAAAAATAGAACAGTCCTCAGAAGAAGAAATGCAAATGGTCAAGAAATACTGAGAAGAGAAGATGTTCAACACCCTTTGTCAGCAGGGAAATGCAGATCAAAACTATTTTGGGATTCCATCTTAGCATGGACGGAATGGCTATACTTGAGAAACCAAACACAATGAATGGTGGAGATTTTATGGGGTAAAAGGAACCCTTATACACTGCTGGTGGTAATGTAAATTAGTCCAGCCACTATAGAAATCAATATGGAAGTTCTTCAAAAAATTAAGAACAGAGCTTCTTATATGACCCAGCTGCACCTCTCTTCAGTACACACCCAAAGGAATCCATGGATACTTGCACACCCATGTTTGCCATGGCAGTGTTCCCACTATCCAAGTTAAGGAATCAGGCAGGTGTCCATAAACAGACGAATGGATAAAGAAAATGTAGTATTTTACATAGCAAGTTCCAGGCCAGCTGGGGCTACAGGGAGACCCTGTCTCAAAAAGACCAAAAAAAAGTGGCAAATATAGAATTCGGTTTTATTTGGCTATAAAGAACAAAATCATGTCATTTGCAGGAAGAGATGGATGATGGTAAGTGAATTAAGTCAGACTCAAAATGATAAATATTGCATGTTCTCTCTTACATGTAGAATACAAGTTTTTAAAAAAAACATGAAAGTAGAAGAGGGAATGTTGGGGAAGAGGAAGAAAACTAGGGAGAGAGGGCAAGAGAGAAACGGAAGTTGAAACTGATTAAAATATGCTATTGCATATATGAAAATGTCACAATTTTCTACAATTAATATATGCTGACAATACAATTTTTTAAAGAAGAAGAAATGAGTTGTGGGGTAGGGGGGATCCCAGTGATGTAGCTCAGTGGTGGAAGTAGACAAGTACCTAGTGCATTTAAAGTCCTGGGTGTGATCTCCAGAAAAAAAAAAAAAAACAAACAAAAAAAAACACCTGCTGGCAAGGATGTGGCAAAAGGGAACCCTTACACCCTGTATGTGGGGGTGTAAATCAGTGTAGCCATTATAAAGAACAGTACAAAGATTCCTCAAAAAAATTAAAAGCAGTACTATCTGACCAAGCAATTTCACTAGTGGGTTAATATTCAAAGGAAATAAAATTACTATGTCAGAGAGATATCTACATTCTCATGTTTATTGCAGCTCTATTCTTAACCCATAAAGAGGGAATTAACCAGTCCGTTAGTGGGTAAGTGCATAAATACAATGTAGTATATGTGTATATATATACATATATGTATATATAGAGAGAGTTGTGTATATATGCATAATAAAATTCTAGTTAGCCACAAAAAGAATATATATATGCACAATAAAATGCTAACTAGCTACAAAAAAGAATGAAATCTTCCATTTTGGGCAATACAGATGACCCTAGAGAACATTTTATTAAGTCGAATAAACCACACACAAGACAAACACTAAATGATCTTACTCTTATGGAATATTAAAAAGTTTATCATTTATAAGAAACCAAGCTAATATATAATTAACATGTTCAAGGAGTGATTTCATAGCATGAGCCAAGGAGTAGCTGTCAGAGATTGGGGAGGGCAGTGGGTACAGAGGGGTGGTGGGAAGTTGGGAAATAGGTAGAAAGTTAGAGTCAGGGAGGAGGAGTAAATTCTACTGCACTGTAGGCTGACTATAGTTAACAATAACATACTGCATGTTTTAAAAATCTAGAAAAGAGGTTGTTGAATGCTCCCACCACAAACAAATTGTATATGTTTAAAGTAATAAGTATAATTATTATTCTGATATGGATACATGGTGCATACATATGTTGAAATATATTGTACAACATAAAAATGTACATTTATGCATCAATCAAAAATAAAATAATACTAAAATCAGCTTTAAAAAAGAAAGGAAAGATCGATGAGGCTTCTGGGTAGCCTTCCCTCTCCTGTGAAAAGGCACAGATGCATCTGGTTCTTCCTTCTTTTGACCTTGAATATAGAGGCTACAGGAGCCACCTCGTATCCATGAGGAAAGAGGCAAAACGACAGAACTGAAGACACAATGGCTGAGTCAGAGATGAACTACTCATCACATGATAGCAGCTGCTTCTGGCAAAACTTCGTATTAAGTAAGAAGCATAAGATGCCAATTAAGCCATTAAAAGTTGTCAAGGAATGTCAATAAATGCGTTCCTGGGTTCACTTGGACTTCTCTAAGACAGTTGCTGGATCTTGGTCAAACCAGTATGATGCTAATCAGCAGATTCCCATCCTCCATTACACTGAGGGCACATGACCATTGTCATGAATATAGTTTCTGGTCACTTACCTCCTTCCAAGGTTTTGAGCAGAATTTCCTTATTATCTCAATCATTTCTTTCTGAGAGGAGACATTGTCATTTACTGTCATATTAAAAAAATCCATCACAAAATAGAAAGCTGAAAATGCCTACAAGAGAAAAGTGCAGAGTTTTAGGTTGTTTCCAACACACAAGAACATTGACTTGATCTTTGGGGAGCTCAGTTCTGGTTCTAACAGCAAGGGTACCCTCTTCTGTCAATCCCATGCTTGCAAACAAGCCATCTGCTTCAACTTCAGCCAAAATAGACCCAATGGAAAATTTTTTGAAGATTTATTTAGTTTATGGGTATGAATATTTTTCCTGCAAGAATGTACATGCATCACACATGTGCAATGCCTGTGGAGGTCAGAAGAGGGCAACAGATCCCTTTGGATTGGAGTTATGGATGATTGTTAGCCATGTGGATGCTGAAAGTTGAACCTGGGTCCTCTGCTAGAACATCCAGTGCCCTTAACCACTGAGCCATCTCTCTAGTCCCCCAATACAAATTTCTTAAAAGATGCATTTTTAAAATAATTTCTTTTTAAAAAATTTTGTTTATTTATTTATTTTATGTGTCTGAGTGTATTGCCTGCATGTGAGTGCACCGTGTTGTGCGATGAGGTCAGAAGAGGGCTTCAGATTCCCCTGGAACTGGAAGTAAGGACGGTTCGTAGCCACCATGTGGATGCTGGGAATCGAACCCGGGTCCTCTGCAAGAGCAGTCAGTCCTCTTAACTGCTGAGCCATCTCCCCAGCCCCTAAAATAATTTCTTATCTGTAACAAGTACCTAAACTTAAAAAAAAAAGGACTGTGTGTATTAGTCCGTTTGTACATCTCACAGTCCATTCCAATGACATAAGACTTCTTTTTTGTACCTTAATTTCTCCTCCATTTCCAGTTTAAACAGTTGTCTGGCAACATAGCTGACAGTCTACTTTTATCAGCTTTCTAAGAGAATATAGCCAGAAAATTAACCCAAATTCAAATGTGTCCATAAAGGAATAAAAAGAACTTTGCTAAATCATTTTCCAAAGGTGCAACCAAAATATACTGAGAAGACTTTGATATCAATTAAATGAAGCTTTTGAGGTCACATTTGTAGAGACAGAAACAGGTTTTATATTTTCGTATCAAGAACCTACCCAAACTGAGCACCTGACCTGACCCCACTCCCTCCCACATTCTGACTTGCTTTCTAACATGACTGCCTGCTTACAACACCAGGGATTAGCTGGGCTTTGCCCTGGTTTGGAAGCACATTAGAGGTAGGAGTAGTGTCCGTAGGGTCATGTGTCTCTGGCATTTGTATGTGAATCTGCCTTTCATACTTTTTTGTTTGTTTGTTTTGAAATGAGGTCCCCCTGTATTTCCAGCTGGCCTAAAGACAAGGCTAGTCTCCACCTCATAGAGATGCCTCTGCCTCTAGAGTGCTGGTGTTAAAGGCCTGCACTATCACTCCTGGCTTTGCCTTCCCAGACTCATCCTGCTTAGTTAAGTTCATGGTTTTTAGTTTAATCTCTATTTCCTACCAACTTTTTGGTATAGAATAAGGCCTCTTAGACTAGAGATCATAGGTCTACCTTAAGGGATTAAATGTCTTTTAAATTTTATGAAAATTTTTCAATTTACTTTTATATGCTCATTTTTCTGCTTCAAAGATCCTTAGCTTTCATCAAATTCTTAAGAATTTTTTGGTTCCTTCAAAAGTTAAGAATGACTGGGCTATAGAGGACATTATGCCAAATAAAAAACAGTTGTGAAAGTACAAATAGCACTTAATTCTATTCAGATGATGGCACCTGGCACAGTTAGAAAATCTGCAGAATGGCGGCAGTGGAGGGGAGTATGGAAGGAGGGGTTAAGTTTTTGCTTAATGGACGCAGTTTCGGTTTGGGAAGATAAAAAGAAAGTTCCAGGGACGGAGCGTGGAGATGATTGAACAACGGTGTGTTATGCTACAGCACTGCACACTTAGAAACAAAGGAACAACTTTTACACTAAAAATAAGAGTGAAAGGAAAGAAGACCGGTCTAAACAGCCTCAGTATTTTGCCTGTAGTTCTTGCCTTGATGGTGAAGTTATGATCTGAAGTGTCTTCTCTCAAACAGGACCGAGTGTGCAATATGCAGTCAGTCTTCTGTTTAGTACAAATACCTGATTCAAATGTAAAGCAATGCTTTAAATCTCTCCTCCTTTTCCTATTTTTTTAACATTTTCTATGATTATTGTTACTCTTATATTCCTTACCAATAAGCTATGGAAACCAACCCTCTCTCCTTAATCACAGTAGACGTCATGTCTGAGAATGAGAATGAAAGGGAAATCCTGTTGGGTGAGCCAGGATATGCTTGTTTATCTCTCATAAGCAGTTGTGCTCCAGAATTAAGTCACTTACAGAACTTCCCTTGCTCAGGGGCCAGTTCATTCACAGGCACATTAATTTGGTCTTTTACTCCATCTACCTGCTAACTTTCACTAATCCCTTTGTACATCAAAGCCTAAGTGGTAGGTTTTGTTTCTACATGTGTTCTTCAGAAACCTAGCACATATCAGGTTAAAGATGGCCTCCTAACTCCCCTGGAAAAGTCTCTATTATAGCAGATTATTGCTTATATGTGTGGACTGGAGTTCAACCTAGAAAATTAAAGCGTAGATCGAAAGGGAGAGCAAGGCTTAATGGTATTTTTTTCTTCTTTTATGTATACTGTAAAATGGAAAGGTAGCCTTATTTAGAATGATTCCATTTCTTAATTCTCTACTGATTTTTTGTATATTTCATATAGGACATCTTAATCAACTTTATACCCCCTCTCCCCATTGGCCCCCTCCCATAGTTCTCCTACTTGAATTCATACGTTCTGTCATTTGAATGATTCCATTTTTTTGTTGTTGTTGCTGTCTTTTTGAAGCAGGGTCTCCCTGTAGCCCCAGCTGTCCTGGAACTCACTATGTAGACCAGGCTGGCCTTGAACTCACAGAGATCTGCCTGCCTCTGCCTCCCAAGTGCTGGGACTACAGGCGTATGCCACCACACCTGGCATGATTCCATTTTTAACCCTCTGAATTACACTGCATTGAAAAAAACCACCTATTCTTGTAATACTCGAGGAAAAAACATTACTCAAAATCAGAAGGTTCAGGGTCACACTGGCAGTTTTCTTCCCATGGCTATAATGACTCTTTAAAACACTCTAAAAAATAAAAATCATCATGATCCGACTTTTCAAGCAGAGCTACAAGGGCCAATGCCAGCAGCAGTTCTTCTTCTAGAAGAGATCCAAGGCCAATGCTTGAGGGAGAATTGGCTCAGTGTTAGGAATTCCGAGCTTGCTTTTAGGTACAGATGGGATGCCCTATGTCTGAGGTCTAAATCTGCAATCAGCTCCTAAATTTCCATACTGGAAACCAACCTTACTCTATAATCTTTCTTAGCATGTCTAAGACATACATTTGTGTAAATTAAGCAGCAACTTAGGAGAGGAGCTCTGTAGGCCACCCTCAAAGAGCACAGCTCCCAAGTCATTGCCTCATCTTCTTTCCACACTGGCTTAGAGAATTAATACTTGTAGAAGGATATATGCTTCTTCCTCCTTATAGCTGCTCTGAATTATTTCCTATCATCAATTTGAGAACCAAAAATCTAACCTAGAAAAGTGGCAGCTGTAGTCCCAGCTACTTGGGGGGCTGAAACAGAGGGATCACTGGAGTCCAGCAGTTCAAGAACAGCCTGGGCAACTTAGAGAGATGGCATCTTAACAAACTACCAACTAACTAGCTATTTATCTAGTCAGTTGAACTAGTTAGCTAAATAAATAAATAAATGAAAAAAGAGAAAAAGACATTTTTAAACCTCTATAGTGCCTTATTCCACCAAAGAATTGAGTGGGCTAAAGTTGCAATGGGTTAAGCATCCCTTAACCTGATTCAAAATCCAAAATGTCCTGAAATCTGAAACTCTTTGAGGTGCAAGATTCAGATTTCAGAGTGTTATCCTTGGATGTTGAAATCCTCCAAAGGTTTAGTAGGGTGGAAGTCCTTATCTCATTAATATGTCCTTGAAGGGGTCAGACCCTGTTCTTTCCTGATTCTGAGCATGAGATGAGTAGGCTCCCACCATGGTGTCTTTCTATCCCTCTCTCTTCTTTTTCTCCTCCATCCCTCTCTTCCCCCTCCCCTCTCTCCTCTCTCAGTCCAGGCTACCTTATCACATCAGCAGGTACAAGAAATTGGAATATGGGGATTAGAGAGATGGCTCAGTAGTTAAGAGCATTGCCTGTTCTCATAGAAGACCAGGATTCAATTCCCAACACCCACATGATGGGTTCTAGGAGATCTGACACCCTCTTCTGACCTCCACAGGCATTGCGTAACATGGGTGCACTTATATATGCAGGATGACACTCACACACATAAAGATAAATTTTAAAAATTTTTAGAAAAGAAATTGGAATTTTAACAATATGGTCAAAGAAATTGTCTAATAAAATAAAATATCCCTTGTGACATATCTTTGGAGTTCAATTATAAGAACAGTTCTGTTTTGTCCCAAGATTTAGAAAGATGAATATAATAAAAATGTTATTGGTCTGATTCTATCTTATTTTTCCTATTGGTTACTAGCAAGCACAGAGCTAAATTCATATACCTGTATATAGTTCACCCTTGAACAGCACAAGTTTGGGCTGAGTGGGTCCTCTTAGATGCAGATTTTTCTTTTACTTTTTAATTTTTTTTAAAGATTTGAGACAATTTGAAAAAAATCAAAGTATGTACCCTATAAGGGTTGAAAAAAATTAAGGAATTTAAGTGTCATAAATGCATAAAATTTGCATAAAATCTCTTTTTATCATTTATTTCCACAAACTATATGCAAATCTACTATAAAAGATTAAAATTTAGCAAAGATTATGCACACCAACACTAATGTGTAGTATACGACACAATTAACAGCTCAGAGAAATTTAAACAAACATAAGGATGCAGTATTAAATCCTAATTGCATAAAACACTGCAGTCCATATCCTGCCACTGTAACAACTGCATAATCCTTCATGTTGCTAGGAGGGTGAGCTCAGGTGTTACAAACCCTTGCTAGAACAGGCATGTTACACTGCTGTTCTACACACCAGCAATTCATCCTTCTAGTAATGTGCAGGAAGAAGTGATCTCTTGTGATTGTGCATATTTTCCTCTGCATATAATATATATATATATAACATATAAACATGTATTGACTATCAGAGTCATTGTTAAGCCTTCTAGTCAACGGTGGTCTATTACTAGCAGTTAAGTTTGCAGGGGTCCAAGGTCAGTGGCAGAAGCAGAGAATGGACCTCAGCAATTCCCTGGGTGCCTAGCTGCCATTACAGCCACTATGAACAGTGAGAGCTACTCCCCCCAACTGCCTCCACCTCACATTGCCAACACCACACCCAATGGGTGGCACGGCTCAGGTGGCCTCACATTGGTCGTGGCAGTTATGAGCCAGAGAGGAGAAAAAAATCAAGATAAGCCTCTAAGCCAGACCACCCCCCAGGGTAGTATCACACCAGTTCTAACTATTAAAGGAGATATTCAGACAACTCAGAACTACAATATAACAGAGACAAAAGTATCTGACCCACTAGCTGAGAATTCATCTATTCCTAGGCTGAGCAGGGAAACCTGAGTGACTGGAAGCCTATAATTCTACACCTGCTCATCAAACCAAAAAAAGGGAGCATGGAACTCTGGCAGGCAGCAAAGAAACAATTGGAACTGAAGACCTTAAGTGCTTGGGTTTTGCCACTGACCAGATAATTAGAACTATATAATTATTTAGGCAGCATGGGGTTTTGATCTTATCGGTAGCTTGAAATAGGCTGTGGTGGGAATATTTACACCACAGAAATAGGGAACTGCTACAGATTAGCTAGCTTCCTGTCTTGAAAGCATGGTTTAGACATTTACCAGCCCAATCACCGCTTGCTGGCATATCTATTACACACCACTGCCAGTGATGGCGTTATCGTCCTCATTTTTTATAAAAAAACAATTTTTTTTTTAATTCCTCAGAATTTTAGGGGAAATTTACAAAGGTTTTTAAAAATTGAAACAGAAACAAAAATTATCAAAGAAGAATAGGTACCAACCAGTGCTGGGAACTATATACAAAGAAGATACTAGTTAGAGGCAAGGAATTAAGAGAGTGAGGGGGAATCCACGCTGAGGATTGGAGGGTTGGGAGAACCAGACCACGAGAGAGGAAAGAACCAAACAGAAGAGCCTCTAGGGGTCGCTCAAGGCCACTTCACCTTTTCCACGCCTTATCTCTCCCTACTTTGGTTGAAGGAATCACTTAAAAAGGCAAGGCATTCCATCCCCCTCAAAGAACAAGGGTTTGCTCCTGACTTGAAGGTAAGATTGAGTCATGTTTCCCAAGAGGCAAAGCTTTCAGGGACGTTAAAAGTCAACTCATACAATTTCCTTCAGATTTATCCTTCCGAGCTACAAGTGGAGTGAAAAAGCCCTTGGTTGTCTCCAGCATCCTTGGCCATGTGCCTCCCTTTTGTGACCTATTCCTTCCTCTTCTAAAAATTCTACTCAAGACAAGGAAGGGTCCTGGATCCCAAGAATCCCCATGTGGGAAGCCAGTGCCAGTTCAGCCACATGGTATTGAAGCCAGGTTCTAGCTCTGAGTTTGGGTTTGAAGCTGACTACAATCCAAATGTTACTCTGCCATTGTCTGCGGTACACTTCTCTCAGGACCCTTCCAAGGAGAAAGCTGTGGTCTCGGCCACAAAGCAAGCCTGGTTCCACGGTGCTACCCACTGTTTCCTCAGAGACCTAGGAAATGAAGAGCTAGGTTACAGGACAGGCGTTCAGCCAGATCTGATAACCATGGGTCCTGTGCTCTCTCCACAGAGCTCTTTCTGTGACACTGGACTTGACCCAGAGACCGAGGGGGTAAAAAAACACAAAACTCATGCTGCGGTCCTGAAGGGAACTGAGCCTCTCTCCTGATCTGTTGTTTTTTGAAAAGGGAAAAAGGCAGACAAAGACCTTCTCCTTTGGATGATATCTTGAGTGAATAATGCATTAGTAATCTTGGTCTGTAACTGGCGCTTGTTGGGTGGTAGCTAACTTTTGTGATCTACTCCTGGACTGAGAGTGCAGCAGTGCCTGGTCTCAGAACCAAAACAGACGGTACCAACAATGAGCAGATCAGGAGGACTCTCTGCCTCTTTGGCACAAATATTTTCTCTTATTCTGGATTAGGAAACGAAGGAAATGGGAGCCAGGATTCAAATAATCCCCCACCTCTTTGAAATGTGGTAAAATGGATGCTGTTTCCTGAGTTTCTACTTCCTAAATTTTTTTTTTTTTAAATAGAACAAGCTCCTCAGCTGAGTCATCCAATGCCTCCTTCCCTTCCTGACACTTGGGGTGCCCCTTGCCGCAGACTCTGATAAGTACACACCCTACAGCTGGCTTCCTTCTTCCTTGCTTACAGAATCCTCATTTTACCCAGGTAGAAAGAGCAAACAATAATTACTCTAAGTCAACTATGATATTAACTTCCCTTTATCTCAGATTGGTTTCAAGATGTGCATTTCACCAGGGTCTGGCTAACAGACTCTGAAAAGACGTCTTTTGACACTGGTGCATCATGAGAAAGGTGCTTGAGGAGAAACCTCTAGCCATCATTCTCTTTCCTACCTCGGCTTTGCATGTGAAGATGTGATACTTGGAGCAAGAGTCACCATCTTAAACCATGAAAAGTCAAGAAGATAGTGGAGAAGCTGATCCCAAATCCCAATATTGTTAGGTCAAGTAACTAGCACAGTTATATCAAGACATTATTGTGTGAGAGAAAAAAAGAATTTCCATTATTTGAACTTTTTAAAAAAATATTTTACTTATTAATTTTATTTTATGTGTTTGAGTATATTACCTGCATGTATATAAGTGCAATCGTGAAGTGCAATGCCTGCAGAGGTCAGAAGAGGGCATAAGATCCCCTGGAACTGGAGTTACAGATGGTTGTTAGCTGCCATATGGGTTCTGGGAACTGAACCCAGGACCTCTGCAAAAGCAGCCAGTGCTCTTAACCACTGAGTCATCTCTCCAGCCCCTATTTAAACTCTTTATAGACATATATCATATAACTTGTAACCCCCCAAAATCCTAGACATTGTACCTCATCATTTCACAAACTTACCCCAAAACTCCCTTGGAGTGGTGGCAAGAAGACCCCATCGAAGGCACACTGGGAATAAGGGCAGTAACTTTTGTTGAAGAGCTCAAGGATGCTCTGGTGGCATTTTTGATAGTCTCCAGTACCCTGGATTTGAAACTGATCAAATGGCAGAGTCTTCTGGAATCTCTTGGTGCAGGGAGTGTTATAAAGTTCACTTACATTCACAAGCTTCTCATACCCAGGATGGAAGCATGGGTCCCTGAGGGTTCTGCTACTTGAAACCTGAGTGGAAGAAGCACTTGAAGGAATCACTTTGGGTCAATGGCACACTCCACCCTCATCAAAGCACCGGCATCATATGTCACTGTATTACTCAGCACAAGTACCAATACACCCGGTCCTGCCCTTTTCACCCTTGAGAATAAGGTTTAAAAGAAAGATTTACAGAACAGGCAGCAGGTGTGATATGGCATGTTGGTGTATGACAGTATTTATAACCCTGCCCAGAAATGCCACTGGTTGGGACTGTCCCTGAACACTTAGTTCTAAGCACATAGACCAAGAGTAGGTTCATAAGAAGAGTCTTCGGCTCTCAAAAACTTGGGTTTGAGTTGTAGTCGTCAGTGTTCCACATTATCCCTTCCTTTCTTCCCCAAACAGAAAACAGGAGCTGCAAGAGCTGGAAGATGCTTTTAGGGCTTTTATTCCAGTACTGAAAAAAGTGATTTTTAAAATATTTTATTTATTATTTTTTATGTGTATGAGTGTATTGCCTGCATGTGTGTAAGCGCACCCATGTTGTGCAATGCCCTCGGAGGTCAGAAGAAGGTACTAGATCCCCTAACTGGAGTTACAGACAGTTGTTAGCTGCCATGTGGGTGCTGGGAATCGAACCCATGTCCTCTGCAAGAGCAGTCAATGTTCTTAACCACTGAGCTATCTCTCCAGCCTGCAAAAAGTGATTTTTAACCACCAAGAAGACAGAGGGGCTGCTGTGGACAAACAGCTGCATAAAGCTTGGAGGTTGGTTGGCATTGCTCACCTGTACCTGCTTCTAAGGTGGTGTCTTCTTGATGGTTTTAAGAACCAGAGAAGGCCTGGTGGAGAGCAGAGAACTGGCTGTCCTTTTCTGGAGACAGAGGACAGCTGGATGTGACAACCACCCTGTGTTTATTTGCCAGGGTATGTCTGGTGCTCTTATGATACTAACTTTTTTTTTTTTTTTTTTTTTTTTTTTTTTTCGTGTACAAACTATCGAGAGCATCTGGGGACAAGATCTAAAGTGCTGATTGGCAAATTGTGTATTTTCCCTGGAGTGTTCTTCTCTGATTAATAAAAAAATTATGCAGAAGATCTTATAAATTACCATCTCTCCCCATAAACAACGCATTAGCATGTAATTTGCATTATCAACACCACTGGGTCAGAAATTAATTCCTGAGAAAAGAGCTGAGTGGTGTCCTTGGAGATAGTGCAGTAAACAAACATAGGAGGGGATGTCTGGGTGGAACAATTCACAGGGATCGACCAGATGTAGTTTGGTATCCTGCCTGAAAAGGTTTGGAAAGTGCTATAATCAGCTTCAGACCGATTACTGAATTACAAAGGGGAAATAACAGGATGTGGGGGCTGAGGACCAGATGTGGGGATGGCAGTCTGAATTCAGTCACACTTGCCTGAATGTCCTTGGCCAATTTCTGCCAGAGCGCCTGATCCTTCCCATAGCACAAGAAGCTGTGTGTGTACACAGTGTAGTCCTTGCCATACAGGCGAAACTGCAGAGAGTTTTCTGGGGACTCTATCGTGGCATTTAGGGGCACAAAGGTGATTTGCGTAGAGGCTCCTCCGAGGTCCAAAGCTCCAAAGGTTTCCTGACTATAGCTGTCAGGTGAGATGAAGTTGAGCCAACTGCGTTTCTGAAAGAGAGTACAGTGCAAGAAGTCTCTGAAAATCCTACTTTTTCTTGGACTCTTGGACTTCCTAAGACAGAGAAGCTGAGGCAAAGCTCATTACAGATTGCTGAGTCTGCACCACATCAACAGCAAGAAAAGGGCTTTAAAGACAGCTCAGATCACAGCGACATGGGGCAGTGGAACTGTGGCTCGCAAACTAGGTGTCTGGGCTTAGGCTGACTCAAGTTCAAATCCCTTCTCAGTCATTAGCTACGTGACACTGGCCAGAAAAGGCATCAATAAGGGGCTCTAAAATAGGGGTAATAATGGACCACATATGGCTGTTTTGAGGATTAAGTCACAGTACAGGAAATGTGCTAAACACTTCTCACTTAGCAAATACTATTTGTTTTCCTTTGCTTTGTTTTAGGCCAAGTCTTGCTATATTGCCAGGGCTGGTCTCCAACTTGAAATCCTCCTGCCTCAGCCTCACCGTGTCCAGTTAGCCTTATTTTTAATAAGATTAAAATAATCTCAAATAAAATAGATTTGGAGACTGGAGAGATAACTCAGCAGTTAAGAGCAATGCTCTTGCAGAGGACCCAAGTTCAGTTCCCAGCACCCATGTTGGAAGGCTTACAACCCCCAGTAACTCTAGCTTTGGGGGATCCAACACCCTCTTCTAACTTCCAGAGGCACTTACACCCATGTGTACATACCCACACATAGACACACACATATAAAATTTTTTTAAATAAAAATAAAATCTTTAAAGTAGATTTCATTTTC